TTGGCTTCATGCTGAACCACACAGGCTTTGGGGAAGGAGATAACAAAAATATGTAACACCAACAACATAAGGGTATGATGTGACTGCTGATTATATGTCTCAGGTTCCTTCCTGTCTCACACTCAATGGAGTCGAGAGACCAGTGAAACCATTCTTTCTTCTTCAAGCACAATACTGTATTTTTGAAAGCAGCAGAAATATCCACATCTGTATCGAAGAGCCAGCTATAAATTATGAACCTTAAGTCCCTTTTATTGATGTTTAATAAATAGCAATTCGTTATGATTATTAAAAACTTAATTTAAAATTCCAGTTCTTTTGCTTTTTTCCCTCTTGGCGCTGTTATCTTCATGCTTTGCAGCAGCTCCTGTATCGTGGATTTCTTCCATGTTTAGTGCCCTTTGAGCCTCACGAATCTTGAACTCCAGAAAGTGAGAAACAACCCTGAAGCTTAAGCCCGGGGCTGTTTTAGTAAGTCACCTGGCACCAAAACACCATCTCACATTCATCAAGAAGCCCTACGGTTTTCTGGGGTTAGGAACTAGGTGGCTTGTCAAACTGTTGGTCATCGAGTTATTTTTGTAACCCTAGTCTCCGACACCACTTTCCTCTGACTCGGTATTTGTAGCAGGTATGAACACTTTTAATTGTCATTTCTATAAAAGTAAAATGTTGTGTTTCTTTAAAGTGTTTATGAAATCATCCCTGGCATGATTTTAATGTTAATTTGTGTTGCTAAGTACCAGTGACCTCCCCCGCCGGCATGTCACACTGGTAGACAGAGTGAGAGGCATGTGTGCCATTGAAGGAATTTCTGGGTGACAGGTCCCCAGCAAAAGAACAGCCCTGGAGGTGGGGCACGGGTGCTTTCTCCCCATGTTTGGATTTCCAGTTTGTGCCTCTGATCTCTGCATCCATTTCACTTCAGTCCTTTTCTTCCTTCCCTTGATGGCTTCTTTGTTCCTGACAACTGTCATGTGTCATCACAGATGCCCAGGAGAACGTGAGTGACCAGAACCTAGGAGTAAATGTCACAGTATGTCACAAAAGCCAGAGCTTAAGATTGTGAGTGTGGCACCCCACCTTGGAATTCTGGTGGCGTCCTGACCACTGCTGTGCGGACACTGCCAGAACTAGGTGGGACAGAGGGGCAGCCATGTGCCAGCGAGGGTGCGCTTCTGATTCCTGACAGATGGGGCCCAGCAAGGAGAGGAGCTCCTGTGGGGTGCGGAGGGTGTGTGAGGGCCACATGGGCCGCCCCAACCGGATGCCATGCTGGCTGCTTGCCTGGAGCTCAGGCCTCACCCCTCCACGTCAGCACCACTCCCTCCACACCCTGCTGCTTGGAACTGGCTCTTGCTCGTTCATCGGATGGTAAAGGTGGCACCTTCTGGTGTGCTCTGCTCTTTCTCTTCCTATCCTTTGTTATCAGTTCTCAACCATTTTCCTACCTCAGTGGTTCCCAGGGCTGTCACAGACTCCTGTTCCTGAACAGTGGCCTTTATGACACTGATTCTGACCTGGTAGGGGACAGTATCACAAGCAGCAGTTAGAGAAGCTCCCTGGGTGATTTGTGCACATCCCCACCCCAGGCAGATTCTGTGTCACCCTCCTGTCTGCACTGTGTCTGATCAAGGTCTGAGGTCTGGGAGGCAGCTGTAGTGCTAGTGAGAGCAGAGTGCAGCTCACCTGGCGGAGCTGGTCCTCCAGGCAGCCTGAGCGCCCCCTGGACAAGTCCTAGTGGAGACTCAGAGGGAGGTTCCCAAAGACAGGAAGGTCCGTGAGGTAGTCCTACAGTGCAGCACTAGGGCGTTCTTCCTGAATTTTGAACAAGGCCTAGTGTGAAGCAAATACTCGATGTTTGTCATTGGACAGGTGAACAGGCATGGCGCCTGAGAAGTAACGCTGGCCTGACATACTGTTGATCCGTCCCTTGCACAGCAAAGCTTACTGTATGTTTCTAGCATCAGGGGTGTGGCATGTTCAGTAGCGAGCAGGACATGCTGGCCTGCAGTCCAGTGAAACAGTGAGACATTCAGCAGATAGTGTGACACACAGACACAGGCTGCTAGACACAAGGAGAGAATAAAGGAGGGTTAAGGGGAAGTATGAGGGGACCCAGAGAGACTGGGATGAGATGAAGCAATGGAGGAGCCAAGTCAGAGAAATGCAGAAGCTCCAAGGTAAGGCAATCTGGCAGATAAAACAGCGCCACAGAGCAGCTCTCACGTCACACCCTTTCCCAGCATGCCCAGGGCCAGAGCAGTTACTAAACATGTGACAGTTGCTAGGGGCATGCAGGGAGGACTGTGTGTCTTGCAGCATGACTTGCCCTCATTTCTTAAGGGAAGAGAAAAAAAAAAAGTAAAAAAAAAAAAAAGTAACTTGTTACAACAGAAGTCTTGTGTGTAAGACAGCAGAGCCCTGGACCGAGGTCACACTGGGAGCTGAGAAAGGCAGGTGGTGCCAGGAACAAGTCTGGAGTGGAACTGAAAGCAAGGTGTGGGGAGCACAGCCTGTCCATGGGACTGCAGGAATTCAATCTACTGGTCTCATGGAGGGTTTGTACAAGAGCTGTGGTAAATCTACACAAGTAGCAGATTTCTGTATGCACAGGACCTGAGCTTTCTCCTGTGAAGAAGTCACTCCAGCAGGATTTTGCTTCTAATGACTGCTCTGGCAGTTACATGGATAGACTGTACAAGGAGTTGGGCCTGGAGGGAGGGGCCCAGCAGGGCAGCCATGGTGAATCTTTTATTTTTTTTTATTTTAAAATATTTATTTATTTATTTATTTATTTATTTATTTATTTAGTGTATGTGTGTATGGCCAGCTCAGCCCACCAGGGGGCGGGGCTGGCTGGCATGTGGGGCTGGGGGATTGAACCATGGTCCCTGTGCTTTGCTTAGCTTAGCTTGTTCTAAGTAGGTGCTTTAGACCACTGAGCCATCTCACCAGCCCCCATGGTGAATCTTTCAGAGCTTTCAGTGATAACAAGCAGCACATTGCAGCATGCATGCTACACGTTTGCCACCACTGACACCAGGTATTGCAGCAGTTCTGGGAGAAACAAAGACAGCTCACTGCAGACAGTGAAAGTTGAGTGGGGAGAATGGAGAACTCTGGGTTGGCTGGTGTTAGGGGAAGTACAAGAAGAGGCATCGAGCATGGTGCCAGGGTGTACGCACTGCTATATGCAGTGGTCATTGCGCACGTGGCATTCTGAGAAGGGGGGCAGTAGGAGGTGTCCCATTGATCCAGCCTGGACAGGACATTGCAGACAATGTGGCCAGGTGAAGAGCTGAGTGTTTTCCTTTATGAACTTTACATTAGAATAATTTTAGATTTACCACTGCGCAGGTCGTGCAGATTTGCACAGACTGATCATATTTGGGTCTTCCTTAGGGTCATGCCACACCACATAAGCGGTCTTCTACACAAGCACAGGACACTTACACAGTGTGAAAATTAGTGCTCAAACACAAGAGCAGAGTTGTGTTAGGGAGCCCTGCCTAGCCCCACAGTGCTTCGTCACTCCCTTGGGACTTGTGTGGATTGGTCTCTTGTCCCTTCCAGTGTGTATATGCACACGTAAGCAAATAAGAATGTGCCTCTTTTTCTTCAGCTGTAACTACTGCTCCAAAACCTCCTTTTTTGCTTTACAGTACGCCCTACAGATAAGTCCACATGCCTGTATTTCCATGGCCATTGTGAACATTGTGTCGCTGGCTGAGCACTTGAAATGTGACTGATACAACTAAGGAAAGGCATTTTAACATTGAGTTATAACATAGATTTTAAAATGGAGTTGAAAATATGGGAATATGTAAAATGCACACACGATTTCAAAGACAATGTTCTTTGCAGCTATACAATATTACACTGTACAGTTCAACAGTCCTCCCTTGAGGCAAACTTGGGTTGTTCCCAACCTTAAAAAGCCACAAATGCTTAACTTTGTCCCTTTATCACTTTGTAAGAGTACAGGCTGATCCTTAAGGTGAATCTCCAGCACTAGGGTTGCGCGGTCACAGTGAGTTGTCCTCCATAGCAGTGCTGTGTGTATTCTACCGGCAACTGCGTGAGTGCTACTTTCCTGAACACGACTTCCCTGGGCTTGGAGATATAACACATTCCATCTGAGAGTTTTAAGACAACATAACAAATGCTTTACCTAACTTTTTTGTTAAAAGAAAAAACCTACTAATGGTGATAAAATTCTTAGGAATTTGCATCTTAGAGTTGACTCTTAAAATGAAACACGGAAGCATTAACCTGCATTGTTTCTCTGTTAACATTCAGATTCAGCAGGAGGGATTCTCATAAGGACGGAAAGACTGCCTGGGGTGGGGGTGGTGGGGGCTCTGGGTTAGGATGGATGCCGACACAGCTTTGCCACTTGAAGAGGAAAGATGCAGGCGCGATTGAGTCTAAGAGCTACTGTACACAATCAGGTGGTCAGTTCTGTGTAGTTTATTAACGTCCACACTTCCACCTCCAGGCCAGCTGCTGTCCTCAAGACTTGTGTGCCCTCTACTGCCTTCTTTGTCTAGTTTGTATTTTCACATGGAAATGAAGAACTGAACATTTAGTGGCCAAAAAGTTTCCAATTTCCCATTCATAAGAATCTTACGATAAGATTTACTATATATAGGGATTTGCCTACCAAATTCTTAAGATAGTATGATAGTCTTCTCAGGAATAGAAAGTTGTATTTTGGCAAATTCTGGGGGCATAAAAATGCATTTTCAGCAGATATGACTATGGCTATTTCCTTCATTATGGTATGAAAATTTAAGAAAAGAGAAACCTTGATGCAGAAGTGCATGGGCCTGGCCTACAGGTTGTTGGTGTGAAGGTCACCCTGCAGTTGGTCCTTTCCTCTGTGCCTAAGTTACAGAATGAACAGGTACCCAGCCTAGGGAGAACCAGATGCACCATCGGTATTCTTGGCTTTTTGTTGTTGTTCCGTTGCTAATTTTGCCTAATTACTGTTTTAGGAAGGGTTTTCACTCATCGACAGCAAGAACTGGTTGAAGATTGTAAGACGCGTGGACTGTTTGTTGTTTGGAACAACAATCAAGGCAAGGTCAAGTTGACTGTGGGGCCAACTCTTTTACGCTAGCATCAGATGTGTGTGTGTGTGTGTGTGTGTGTGTGTGTATCTGTGTTTGTGTTGGGGGCTGGGGGGGCACAGCTTCTCTGGAGACCAGATGGTGCTGCAAAGAACCTGCCCTGAAGGATGGCTTGCACCCCAAGCAAGGCTCACCGGTGAGCAAGGCTCGCTAGTGAGCACTCCTCACTAGTGAGCAGGGCTGTGGACAGGTGGAGCACAGCATTGTCTTTTTGCTCTGATTCAGATGTTTTTAAAGGTGTATAGTCTTGAATGCTTTTCTGAACATGTCTTTTCATTTCCCTGTTTAATATTTAAAAACATTTATTTGCTTTTCAGCTGTATTAATCATAAAGAATGATCCTCATCAAAGAAACATGCAGACTAATCACCTGAATTACTTTCTTTCAGAAATAATCATAAAAACCAATCTGTTAGCATTTACTGAGTAAATAACATTGAAGCATAGGCAAAAGGTACTGATGTCTGATGGACTCACAGACCTCAGGAAAGAAGCTTGAAGAGAGTCTGGTACAGGTGCGGCCCTGAGGTGCAGCCAGGGCGACCCAGACTCACCTCCATGCAGACTGTAGAGCTGTGGCTTCAGGGTTCCCCAGGCAGATGCAATTCATACAGGATGGGCATGAGCTCAGGGCTTCTCCTTCTCGGGAAGTAAAGCCTTGCTTTTTTTTGTGTGTAGAGAAGTGGAAAGATACAGAGCCCTTGTTTGCTTAAGCAGTCTGTGTGCCATAGAATTTTCTTACAGTCCCCATAACTTCAGATAAGGTATCATGAAATAACTTGTGAATGCAACTTAACATGTAAATTAGTACCTAAAATACAGCAATTCCGAGCTCATCTCCTTAGATGGCAGAACTGGCAGACTACTGGGGGCAGTTCCTGGCTCTTGGTATACTTGAAAACTTGGTGTTGCATAGCAGGAGCTCTTTCTGACTTTGTGCCTTCAAAGTAAATCTCAAGATCTACAGTGTCCCATTGGAGATTTTCAAACCAAGCGGCAGGCTTTCCGCAGTGCATGTAGAGTTGAGGCTCGGGAGGAAGTGTGAACCATCTCCACTTTTCCTGACGTAGTTAGTGGGTGCTGTCTTGTGTCCACATGCACTGAAATGGTAGTGCTGGCGTCCGATTATAAACTCAAATCCTGAGAGCTGGATAGAAGTAAACATGGGCCAACACCATAAGATTTCCCCACCACTTAAAAAAATAATTCTTTTTAATCTTTTATTTACTTAATTGGTACAGGGTCTCACTACACAGCTCGGACTCATAATGATCCTCCTATCTCACCCTCCCCATCACTGGGATTATAGGTGTGCACCACCACACCTGGTTTTGGTGGGCAGCACAGCATGCCCCAGGGTTCTGGGGCCAGTACGGCATGCGGTACCAGAGATCAAACTTAGGTCCTTGTACTTGCCAGGCAAGCGCTTAGACTGCTGAGCTATCTCCCCAGCCCTTTTTTTTTTCTTTTTTTTTTTGTGTGTGTGTGTGTGTGTGTGTGTGTGTGTGTGTGTGTGTGTGGTACTGGGGACTGAACTCGGGACCTTTTGCTTGCCAGGCAAGCACCTATTCTACTGAGCTAACTCCCCAGCCCCCCCATCATTTTTATTCATTGATTTATTTTTGAGCATTCATTGAACCAATATTTTATTTTCTGTATTTTAGGGAAGGGTCTATAGGGTGTTCAGGGTCTCACTACTAGATCGCACTTGTAGTGATCTGCTTGTTTACAGACTCCCAAGAGCAAATATGCTGATGGAGAAATATTTTGCTGGGATTACAGGTGCGTGCTACCACACCATCTTGACCCGATATTTATTGAACCCACAAATATATCTATAACTGTGCAAGGAGGTAGAAAAGTAATACAACATTCATGCTTTGTAAGAATTCAAAGCCAAGCATCACAGATAAATCAATACACAAGTCTTCAAAAGGGCTCATAAGTAGTAGTGATTTATATACAGTGTTAAAGGAGCACAAAAGGTCTGTCAGCTGAATTTGCAAAAGCAAGTGAAAGCTGCACAAGGGCTGAAAGTCTATTTTCACTTTCATTCAAATAGTTTTGCCAGCTTGTGATTGAGGTGTGTGTGTGTGTGTGTGTGTGTGTGTGTGTGTGTGTGTAAAAGACAAGGAAGAACTAATATAAAGTTGATGGAAAATGGAAGTACACTTTTTAAAGCTTCTAATACTAGGAGAAAATATACCATGTCTTATAAGTAGACTATAAGTCAAACAGTATAAATCATGAAACAAAAATTAAATAATATTCAGAAAGTTACTCAGAATTAAATATTTCAAAATAATATTCAAAAATTAAATTGTGAGTCCAACTAAGAGGCCAGAATGTAGAGTATCATATGTACAAATCTGTGATCAATTCAGAGTACTCGCACAGGATTAGGTTAATATATAAATACCAACTAAGATAGTAAAGAATTACTATGAATAAGACATAACAGAAAAAAAGAAAACATAACAAAAATATATATGACCAGCACTTCTAACAGTTTGGGGATACAATATGACACAAAGTTCTAATATGTGGTGGATGTGGACAGTGTCCATAACGCTTACTGGTGGCCAGGTGTCACTTATGGGACTGAGCTACTGCTATTTTCTTGATATCCACTCTGTAGACCTGGACAGAATCATGACCCATACATAGGGTGGAGAAGAAGTCCACTTGTAGAGTATGCTGATGGAAATATTTTGCTGCTGTATACAAAAGAATAATTGAAAGACTGCTGTTGTGTATCTTTTTCTCCTGTGTTTGTTTGCCCTATTTGATGGGTTCTTTCCATTTTCATTCATGAAGTTGTGGTTATTTTGATCCCTCTCTAGAATATCTTTTAGTAGTCTGTGTAGGGTTGGCTTTGTTGTCGTGAATTCTTTAGTTCGTCATGGAAGTATGTCACTTCTCCATTAAACTTGAGAGTTTTGCAGGGTATATCATTCTGGGTTAGAATTTGTTTTGTTGCAAGACTTGAAGTACTTTGCATCATGCCCTTCTTGATTTAATCATTTGTGAAGAGAAATCTGCCATTATTCTGATGGGTTTTCCTTTAAATGTGATGTTTGTTTTCTCTAGTGGATTTTAGTTTACTGTTCCTGTGCTGAATTTCTGGGATCTTGATTATTATATGTCTGGGTGTGGTTTTAATTGGGTTGATGTTATTTGGAGTTCTATATGCTTCAGTTACTGAAATATCAGATTGTTTCCCCATATTTGGGAAGTTTTCTGCTATTACTTCTGCCCATATTCTTTTTATATCATTTGTATTGACTCCTTTCTCATTGACCCCTATTAGTCTTATGTTATTTATCTTTGCATCATCTTGCAGATGTTGAATTATTTTTTTTCCTGCATCCTAGTTGTTTTTAAGAACTCTCTCCTTTTCACTAGCTGCAGTGGTGTCTTCAAAGTCTGAAAGTCTCTTTTCACCTTCATTCAAACAGTTTTGAGTTTGGGGAGATAGCTCAGTAGAATAAGCACTGGCCTGGCAAGCGCAAGGTCCTGAGTTCAATCCCTGGTTCTGTCAAAACAAACCAAAAAAAAACGGTTTTGCCAGTTTGTGATTGAGGTTTTAATTTCTTGTATATCACTGTGAATCTGTTTTATGCATTCCATTTCTCTCCTATATTGCTCATTCAAGGATTCTATCATTTTTATATTCTTTATTACTGTCTTCTTTAGAAGCACTTAGTACTTCTTTCATTATAGTTTTTTTACTTCAGAAATTATTTCTGATCAGATTACCTCTATAACTTTCTGCAGTTGTTTCTTTACTTGAGACACTATTAATTCAGAGGTTTCAGGTGTGTGCTTTCCAATCTCTTCTGTGGTGTTGTCTCCTGCATTTGTTCTGGGTGGGTTGGGGCCTGAGAATGCATTTTGCTCCTTCTCGTTGTCATTTCGTATAGCACTGCCTTCTGACTTTTGATGTAGAGCTTTGGTAGAGTTATTACCTTAGCACCAAGTCTGGATCTACCAAGTTCAAACTCCTCCGGGTGGGTGTGGCTCGGGTCTGGCTGCTGTGCACCACTTCTTCCTGCTGCAGCCCTTGGAAGTGAACCTGCTGTGCCACTTTGCTAAGATGTTCTGCTCCTGGATCAGCTGGGTGGGTCTAGCCTCTAGCCTCTCTGCAGGGAGTTCTGCTGCGGGGTTCCACACCGGGTCTCTCTGATGAAATTACACAAACACCCAGGCCTGGGCCCCGGCTGGAGTGAGGATCTGGTGAGCCCCAGGTGGTCCCACACATACCCCTCCCCATCATTTTAAAACTACACCCCAGAGAAACCTGAAGCACCCAGACTGATAGATGTGTGCACTCACAGACACCTCTGAGCTTATATACACCAAGCAGTTTTGGACCGTAGCTCTGTTCATACACCTGGGCCAGGGTGCTATTGTTCAGTAGTGTGAAAAAGAACCACTTCTGATGCGCTGTTACATAAAGGGCTGCTTAATTACACAATGTGAACAAAAATGGCTAAATCACAGCTACTTCATGTAGATGTCGTCTTACAGCATCTGAAGTAGGTAGGGTTGGAACAGCTAAATAACGGTCAACAAGCAGTCAGCTCAGTCTGAGGAGAGAGGATTCACCATAGCACTGTATGCCAAGTTATAGTTCTCATATCAGTTTCTCTCATCCTCAGGGAAAGCTAGTTTTTCATGACTGACACACTGGGATCACCCATCTCAGAAAGAAATGGTTAAGGACATGACTCAAGAGGAAAACATGACCAAACAGTCAGTGTTGGAAAATATTGCACCTCACTGTAATCAAAGAAATAAAAAACTTAAAAACCTGCTGACACAGCAGGCTGACAAATACTAAAAGGAGTAAGAACCTGATTGGCTGAGGAAAAGGTACCTGCTCCCCAGGAGAGTAACCCAGTCCTGTGGCTGCAGGCTGAGTAGCACCCTCTGCCGCAGCAAGCCTGCTGTCAGGCACTGATGCACAGCAAGTGGCGGGAGTGCCCACCGAGCTCTGCTGCTGGAATGACCTCAGTGTCAGCAGGCGGTGGCCAGCTCTGAAGGAGTGTTCTTCAGCCTTTAAAAGTAATGAGGTATGGGGCTGGGGAGATAGCTCAGTAGAATAAGCGCTTGCGTGGCAAGCACAAGGGCCTGATTTCAGTCCCTGGTTCTGCAAAAAAATAAAAAAAATAAAAGTAATGAGGTATACTTCCTTTTTATATACTTACCGTTAAAAAAGGATTAGGCTGCAGACCACCAGTGTAAAGATACACGTGCATGGGGCTGGAGAGATGGCTCAGTGGTCTAAAGCACCTACTTGGAACAAGCTTGGCAAAGCACAGGGACCGTGGTTCGATCCCCCAGCACCACATGCCAGCCAGCCGCGCCCCCTGGTGGGCTGAGCTGGTCACACACACACACACACACACACTCACTAAATAAATGTTAAATAATTTTTTTTAAAAAAGATACACGTGCGTAATATAACCTACATATTATGTACATGACCTGTAAAAATGAGTGTTTTCTGCTAGTGTTTATAACATGCATACATGTGTACATATTATAGTAGTAACTACGTAGTCTGTCAGTATTAGATACAAGCACCTGCTTTTCTGCACGTGATACTTAGCACTTCCGAGCCTGCATTTTTCTAGAAATTACAAACATATAACTTTGCTTAATGCATTTATTAAATAGCTTAAACCATAGGCAGGAAAATCAAGGACTTTGCTTATGGGAACTTTCAGGATTTTCACTGGAGTTAGAAATGTTTTCATGCTAGCAGTGTGATTAGTATATTTAATAAGTGAAAAGGACTCACTGTGCTAATCTAAACATCCGTATTTGTTTATGGAAGAAACTGAACAGGCCTATAGGAAGGAAAGGAAAAGGGGAATAAAAAGAAATCAGATATGTTAAGTGCACAAACCTACTCCCTGAGATGACTGTACTGTGTACTGCAAACCTGTTCCAATAAAAAGTAGATGGGAAAATGGGCGATAGATACTTTTATAATAAAATGGTAGTAGAATCTTCAGCCTAAAAACAACTGAACAAACATATCAAGCTGTTTGGGCTGGCTTTTATGTAGGCTTACTTGCCTAACTAGAAGAAGAGGAAGGGCCGGGGAAATGGCTCAATAGAATAAACACTTGCCTGGCAAGTGCAAGGGCCTGAGTTCAATCCCCAGTTCTGCCAAAAAAATAAAGTTAAATAGAAGAGGAGGAAACTACAAAGTTAATGGCCTTAGGGTTTTATAATCTGGTTCTGTTTTGAAACTTACCATCCAGTAACTTGATGGAGCTGCCAGATTTTTAAGACATTTTTACTGCATCCTTCCCACTTGTGCCATACAGAAGGGAAGGGATCCACACCATACATTAAGGGTCTCCATCCTGTGATGGCATGGTGCTCCTGCCTCCTGAAGGTAATGGGCCCTGGGGTCCTGCCCTCCGATGTATCTGTTGCTGCTCTTTTTCCCTAATGTTATTTAAGCTCACTGCCTCAAGCAATGTGATATCCACCTAGTGTGCTTTTTTACTTAGGTTAGAAAATTTTCATTGAGCCAGGAGTATGCTGTATTATCTTCAGATTTTCCATTTAAGCAACCTGAGCTTTAAAGTGTATTTCAAAGCAAAACACTTTCCCCTGCAGTCAGTATCATGAACTTCCTGTGTGTGTGTGTGTGTGTGTGTGTGTGTGTGTGTGTGTGTGTGTTTAGGGAAGGGTCTACAGGGTGTTCAGGGTCTCACTACTAGATCAGACTCGTAGTGATCCGCCTGTTTACAGCCTCCCAAGAGCTGGGATTACAGGCATGTGCCACCACACCCAGTCTCTCCTCTTCTTTTTTTTTTTTTTTTTTTTTATCCTGCCTCAGGTTTATTTGTACAAAGAGCACAGGAGGACACCAGCCCCCCCACAGATGGCACCCCAGTCCTTCTGTTTTTACATCAGCAGTAAGAGGCTTTCACTGTGGAGTCTTCACAGGGGCCTGAGCACCTTTGGGAGCCTGGGCTGGAGCAGAAGCTGGAGCCTGGGCCTTGGCTGGAGCGGAAGCTGGAGCCTCAGCCTTGGCTGGAGCCTGGGCCTTTGGCCGGCAGGCCCTGCGACCCTTGGCAATGCGGGCACGGATACGCTTCCCAAGCTTGGGGTGGGCAATATAGGCAAGTCGAGCAAGCCTGCGGTTTACTCCCTTTGGAATGATCTTGGGCTTGACCTCCTTGGGCTTGACGAGGGCCTTGATAGCCTCAGCGCGTGCACTCATGGCCTTGGCATTGTTTGCTTGCATCTTCTTGAAGCCCTTCTTGTTGTGCTTCTTGGCAAAACGCATGTTTCTAAGGAACTTGGGATCCACCCCCTTCAGAGATTCGTATCTTTGTGACCGAGGTTTCTTGATGCCATTTCTGTGCCATTTTCGGGACTGGTTGTGCGTGGTGTGGTTCTTGGACTTGGCCATAACTGCACTGTAAACCGCGGCCTCTCCTCTTCTTGATAATGTTAGATTTGAACATTTTTGCTGCTGCTAATTTCTTGAGAGACATGAATGTCAGCATGAAGAACAGCTTTCAAAAGGGGGGAAAAATGAAAAACTGGCTTTTCTATAGCTGCAACAACAAAGGGGGACACTCCCTGGAAGCTCCCACAGTAAATCAAAATCAAGTGGTATGACAAGGGTCTCTCAGGTGACTTTTTATTTGTCAACAGAACAAGAGCCGCATGTTCCGTGTACAGTTCGCTGGAGAATCCAAGGAACAGGCCCTGGAACACTGCTGTAGTTGCGTGCAGAGCCTGGCCCGTTACGTAACTGTCGAGGTGCCGGACAGCATGACCCAGCTGAGTCCTGGCCTGCTGTGGGCAGGTGACCGCCAAAGGAAGGACAGTACACAGAGTGTCGCACTGGAGCCTGGGGTGAGTAGGCCAGCATGCTAGTTATACAGAACGTCCCATCACAATAGGATTGTCAGGTCCCCTGGCTTTGTAGCGCTAGAGATCTAACGTTCTGTAACTTTTTTTTTTTTTTTTTTTTTTTTTTTTTTTGCGGTACCAGGGATTGAACTCAGGACCTTGTACTTGCCAGGCAAGTGGCTTTTTAAATTTAAAGGTTGGTGCTCACTATAGCTGTTTATAATCCTACGAACAAGATAGGGAAGGAGTCCCAGCTGCAGGGGTTTACTCAGAACCATTCTCAAGTATGGCCCGCCTCTTACTGGGCCCCATGAGGCCAAGATTACTGTCGTAATCCCAGGACCTTACTTTCCATTTGCACTGCGTCAGCATCTGCACAGTAGGGCAAGAGCACTGATCAACACTGTTGTCAGTACAGACCAGGTTGTGCTCCACACTGCCAGCTGTCACTTCCCATCAATCACTCATACTAGAAACGGACCCGCAGAACAGAAGGTGCAGTGTCTTGCAGCACACTGGCTGTCGGTGATAGCACCTAAGTAGTACTAACTGGGAGCTGAACTGCCCCTTTTCCATGGACACTACAGTGGACACATTAGGGTCATTCAGACGGGCATCTGGTGAACATATTCTCTGACTTCCATACAACAACAGACAGCAAGCCTTTCAAGTGGTGTCTGAACCACCTAAGTCTTTTACCTTCCTCACCCAGAACACTTCTGAGGCTGCTTCATGAACTTCACTTTATGAAGTGACACAATGCCATGTGTCAGCATGGTGTAGCTCAGTGAGCAGTGAGCCTGTTTTCCAGATGACTGATGCATGCTGCTATGAAACTATGAATAAAGTTATTTCAAGTGCAAGACAGGCCAGGGGATTTTAATATAACACAGTATTTCAGATTCCTTGCCATGTGTCATTTGATGTGTTCCATCCAACCTTGGGGCAGCTACCACTTACTGGGTTCTGGTGTCAAGAACACCTGCAACTACCTGAAAAGCCTGCTTTAAAATACCCCACCTAGGGGCCAGGGAGGTGACTCAGTGGAATAAGCGCTTCCCTGGCAAGTGCAAGGGCCTGAGTTCAATCCCCAGTTCCGCAAAAAAATAAAATAAAAAAATTAAAAAAAAAAAATACCCCTCGGGGCTGGTGAGATGGCTCAGTAGTCTAAAGCACCTACTTAGAACAAGCTTAGCAAAGCACAGGGACCGCGGTTCAATCCCCCAGCACCACATGCCAGCCAGCCCCGCCCCCTTGTGGGCTGAGATGGCCACACACAAATAAATAAATAAATAAATAAATAAATAAATTAATTAATTAAAAAAAATACCCCTCCTTTTCATCTTCATGTGTGGTAAAAGCAGATTTTCTTCATAGTATTACAGTAGCAGGTAGAAGAACTTTTGAATGCAAAAGCAGGTAGAAGAACCCAGTGAGCTCCCCGCGAGCTAGATATTTGGTAGTTACAGAAAACATTACATTGTTTTAGAAAAGTTATTTTTCATAAAATGTTAACATGATTTTTGAAGTTTTCAAAAAGTTTTAAGCTTTTAAAATTTCTACCAGATACACATGAATGTGAATAAAGTTTTTCAGGGCCTCTATAATCATAAGGGTATGAAGGGATCTTGAGATTCCAAGTTTGAGACTTGCTGTAATTTCTTCTGGAAATACATATTGTAGCATTTTTCAGCAGACCCAAATATGAGAACAAGCATATATTTCTGCTTTGGGGATGGAATTCCAGTTTCAAACTTAAGTTTTCGTTTCTCACTTGGAGAAATGGCTCTCCAAGCCTGGTCTACTACTTCATCCTGTTGCCCTTAACCAAGACAATTCATTTTTGCTGCCTGATCAACAAAATTTGTCATTCACAGCTTATTTGAGGTGAACATAATTAGCATTACAAAGTCTTTTTCTTTAAGCAGGTGCTACATTCTTTCCTCTTGAATGTTTCATTTGCCACCTTCTGGTGTTTTCCAGTTCTTCCCCTTACTTTGAGCTTTTTTTTGTGGAGATACTGAAGCTGCCTGTCTCAAACCCTCTTTGCTCCTGCTGCAGGCTCAAAGAATCCCTTCTTACAATGGAATTGGTGGTTTATCAGAAGGTACTTTATTGTACCTTATGTACAAGGAGTCTTTGCCCTTTAGATTTATTTTTCAGTTTTCATTGGCCAGTAGTCAGGTAGATTATATATAGTACCACAGGGCTGGCCAAATACCTCAGCAGATTAAAGCACCTGTTTAGGCAGATGCAGGGGCCAGGTGTTCAATCCCTGGCCTGCTGTGCCAGCCTCCCCCCCAGGGTGCACTGAGACAGTGATTGAGACTGGGCTTGGTGATTTCAGGCACTTGGGAGGCTGTAAACAGGAAGATCACTAGAGTCCCATCTACACAGTGACTCTGGAGATCCTGTCCTAAAACTCTCCCTCCCTCTCCTCCTCCCCCAGAACCCAACAGGGTCCCAGGATGTGGGAATCAGGACTGAATGCTTTATACACATCAAGCCAGCCAGTTACCTACATATCCAAAAATCCAAGCTAAATTGCATTTGTACTATGTGACTGCACACATCAGAGACCTATGAGCTGGTACAGCAGACAAAGGCTTCACTGCTCCAGTGTTAAAGGCTTGTCCCAGAGGTCTAGTGAGAAATGCCCTGTAAGTGGTTAGAAAATTTCCATGTCTTTCTTGGTTCTCCATTCAGGGGCTCTTGTGATGTGTAACTTAAGTGTCCCGATTAAAAGAGAGTGCTGCTGAGTGCAGACCACAGGCTTTGGAACCCAAGCAGATCTAGGTTGAACCCTAGTCCAATTTCTTGGTAGCTATGTGACTTGTGTGAGCCACTGAAGCATGCAGTGAAATCTGTGTAGAAAGCACAGAGCAGGGCCGGGGAGATGGCTCAGTAGGATAAGCGCTTGACTGGCAAACTCAAGGATCTAAGTTCAATCCCCAGTTCCGCAAAAAAAAAAAAAAAAAAAAAGCACAGAGCACACAGTGCTAAGGGACATTATGCAAGGCTAAGCTGCTATGACCTTAGTCACATTACCCATTACTGCTACTGCCAGCCCTCACATTTTCAGATGTGCCTTCACTCACATAAGTTAGCATCCAGGTCAAAGATGTAAGTAGCAAGAAGCAGAACCTCCAGGGAACATGGGGACACAAGAAGAGGAGGATCTGAAGCCACCGGTTACATTCCACGAAGTGCAGCACATTGAAGCAGGGCTCTGGAAGCTGCATTTTCCTGAAGACAACATTTAACTCAGGTCATGCGATCTTTCAGGCTTCTGAGTAGCAAGGGGGCAAGCTCAGGCCATCTTGCCGTGCCCATAGATTCAGGTGTGTCCTTTTTCCTTACCAGAATAATTTTAGTCTAAAATAGTTCCCTACTTTGCAAATAGAGCTAATTTCATGTCTATTTCAGGTCTTGAGTCATTTCCTGGCTCATGTTTTAGTTTTATTCTTCCCCAGCCTTATAATTTTGTTAATTGTGGCCCAACCAGGTGTACCTCAATCTTAGGGCTCTTGAGGCAGCCTGGCCCCCCACCCAGAATAGGGGGTGAAAAACAAGCAGGCCAGCAGTTAGCAGGCGAACTTTCCTGTGAGCCCAGAAGTCCAGAGGAGAGCAGTCCAGTAGCTGTGTGTGTGTGGAGTCTGCCTGCCTGCCTCCCTCCTGCCCTGGGCAGGGTGAACCAGCTCGCTCAAGCTCATCAGCCTCCACAGCCAAGGCTCACAGCACTATGTTTAATGGCTGTGGTGCAGGGTTTTAGTTAACATCGTTTTTGGCTGTTTGAATAATCATTTTAGTTTCAGACAAGGAAACTAAACTGAACAGAGAAATAGCTTATCAAGGGGCTTCTCTTATAATAGGGTCTCTTGGCCTTTGCCCATTTTGATTTTAATATTCTTGATTATTGTTCTCTGTTCTTTTCTTCCTCTGTCCTCCCACTGTCTCTTTCTTGCTGCCTCCTGGCCTGGCCTAGTTTCCTGGTACCTATGGATTAGTAGCAGCAGGCATCCATACACAACAGAATTGGGCATCGTCTGCTTGTCAGATGTGCTGCTAAAGGAAAGGTACCCAAGGGAGGACCTTGCTTTGTCCCATCACACACCGCCAGCTCACACCTGGCACTGGGCGTAGAGCACATGCAGACATGTGGTTAGGGAGGAAGGAGCCATGGGCACTTGGGCCTCAACACTGTCCTGGAGAAGCACGTGTTGCAGGACAAGCATCTTTGACTTGTGTGGTCCTGGCCAGGCTGTGGGCTTCCTGCAGGGCAGAGCCTCCGCCTTGTGCCAAGTAGCTCCCCTTTTTACTCAGAGTATCTGCTGTAACAAGAGTGGAGGATGGATGCAGGTAAAAGTTTTCCCCTCATTTTGCACTTCAGCAACTAACACCAGACTACATTTTGCCCAGCTGAGCGCACACAGTTATAGCAATGCCCTGCTTCAAGCATGCTGGCCCTGATGTCCATCCAGGCCTCTGGACAGAACCACACCAAGGCATGTGACAGGTCAGCAGGTGCAATCCCTTGCTTGGTAGTCGGGAACTGTCATAGGGCAGACCTCTGACAGTGAAGGCCTGTGCCTCCATTCTCCAGCGGCTGTTCTGCTCTGCTGCTCTCCTGACCGCACATTGTCTTATTCCAGCCCTCCCAGGACCCGAAACGGGGGACACATGTGGCTGCTGGCATTGGAACTTCAGAGGGAAGGACCTCGGTGACACAATTAGCACAGGTGGGGTCTATTCCGTGTCAACAGTGGTAAGACTTGTATTCCTCTTGTGTGCTCATTTGAGAATAGAAATCTAACACGCATGTTGACAGGAGGCAGCACCATGTGATAAACCTTTGTCCTTTACCTCAGTGGGAGACTGGAGAAAGGAAAGCTAACCGAATGGGAGGTAACAGAACTTTGCACCACTTTCCCACAAAGTTAAGTTTTAGAAATGAAATTTGGCAACTATTTAGAGTTGACTTTGTAGTGGTTTGTGTAGGACACTGTTCAGTGAGGGCCTGGCTGTGCTACTTCAGACTGTATAGGCTGCCACCACCAGACTCCTGCAGAACCTCCTGGCCCACTGGCCTGACTGTGGTGGCCCACCTGCTGGGAGCTTTGTGGAGTATGCCCCCTCTCTGGTGGTGGCACTGGGTGACAGGTGCTCACTCCTCAGCTTGTGCTTTCTGTGGAACTCTGCGTGTGTTTGGATCTGCTAAGTTGTGCTGTAACTGTGGTACCAAAGAGAACATCTGTGTGTTTTCTCCATCTGGTTTAACGCTAACTCACAAAATAAAGAATAGAGACAAGTAGACCTAGACTGGGGATGGTGGTCAGGGCCAGGGCCAGGGCATGTACTATTAGCATGCATCACGCTCTGGGTCCAAGCCCCCAAATAAAGCATATTTCTTTCAGTAACTCTGGGCTGTGCCAAAACCCCAAAAACCCTTGTGTCCAGGAGCAGGGTAGAGTTCCCATATGCACTGGGGTTAGGCATTGAATCAGAGTGGTTGCAGACAGCAGCCTATGGAGACAGCGAGGAAATGTCAGGGCTAAGTGGCATTGTACAGTTTATTTGAAGCCCAGCAGAACTACATGCACATGAGAACAGGCACGAGACCCAGAGCTCTAATGTTCCTTATTTCTTCTAACATTTTGGAAAGCAAAGTAGCAGTATGTATTATATTACCCATAATTCATTTCAACTAGACCAAAAGAATTTAGGGTGCTGAGGGGCTGAAGTGCGGCATCAGCATAGGTGGGATAAGGTTGTAATCAAAAGTGGTGTTGGTCAGTGCTATTGACAGAAGATACAATGCATTGTTTTCTAAAAGGCAGCTACAAAATAGCATGGCGATTACCTTTGTGCAACACTAAGTTGGGAAGTGCAGTGTCAGCAGTGACCCTCCCTGAAGAACAGGCACTGTGTCACTTTCATGTTCTTCTTTAGACCTTTAGACAGAGTCTGGAAGGGAATCTGAATTTAGAAAAGGAGATTTCTTTTACAGCTCCTAGAGAAAGGTCAGTTGGGTAACTTATGCGCTAAACTATGCTACCCACAGGAAGGGAATTAAACCCCATACTTCACAAAATTTTATGCAGACACAGAACCCAAACTGGATCCCGTAAGAGCTGCAGTCCACTATCATTGTGGATTTTGGGGTTCTACACTGTCACCTCTCAGGAGTGCCAAGCAAAGATTCTACAACATTTGAGGACACCAAAGCAAATGTACAGGTGGTGAACCTATCAAGAGGTACCACACACTGTTAGCGATTAGGGAGGTGAAAATTAAAACTGCTAATTAAGTTTGCTTGTACCAGACTCTTCTGTCATCCCTACAGTCTATCCTGGTATCACAGGAGCTGCCCTTTGCCTATGAACAATCCGTATGGAGTGTGGAAGAATTGGGCCCCTTCCTGCGCCTGTGCCTTATGGACCAAAACTTCCCAGCATTTGTGGAAAAAGTTGAAAATGAACTTAAAAAGCTGACAGGAATGAGAAATTAAGGCTTAATGAATATATATAAAAAGGAACTTTCAAGTGTTGAAAGAGTATTATTCCAAACACCTTTTATCAATGTTTTATTGTTAAAAACAGGTGAATCCACTTTTTATACATCATTGCACTTCAACAGTTACACAGAACACAAGGACATGCATCTACGGGTACATACTGTATGAGAACCTGATCAGGTTATAAAATCTACCACCAACCAGTAAATCAGTGTGAAAAAGTACAATGCCAAACTGAAAGTATAACTAACTACTTGCATAGAATCTCACCATGCTAGGACATGTCAAGGTCATTGAAAAGAAAAGGTAAATTATAAAAGTTTGCCTTGTTGAATGTACAAGAGTAAGGTTCAACACATCAGTGCAAAAGGATTTTAAGAATTTACAGATTAAACAGAAAAAATAGTTACTTAAAAAGCAATCATACATATATATACTGCAATTCATTATATCCATTCACTGGACTGTTCAGCTTAAAGTCATAGGTTAAGCCCTTAATTTACAGATCTACCTTGTGTTATCTTTATGAACCAGAGCTACAGTTTCCTCATCCAACAACATACAGTAAGGAATGAATATCAGCAGCTTAAAAATGAAACAAGCATTTATTTTGGATTTCTCCCACCCCCAAAAATATAAATATAGATATATATATTTATATACTGTATATATCTGTAGGTTTGCTGTACTTTACAAAAATGTACCACTGGGTGGCAGCAGTGCACTTTAGAGCTTTGCCAATTTAACAGCTGCATTAAGTAAAAAATGGCGCATGCATGATCTGATCCTCCGAGGACCTTTTCACTTCTATTTAAATATTTTAACAAAGGAAAAAAAGCAACATTCACAGCACATCAAGCCCAAAATAGTTTACACCTTCTACACTGAAGCATTGTTTAGAATATACCTGGCTAGGTCACCCTTACAGGAGAGGCTAAATAAGGCATGCTTTAGACGGTCATTGTGGTGTTGCTCACTTGAAGGGGAGAGACCAAAGAGGTCCAAGCAGAAAACTGAGCAGGTCATGATGCCACCAGTTTCAGGAACCTAAAGATCTATAAAGAAAGGAAGTACTTGGAAATTAAATTAAAACAGAATAAACATGCACTGGCACTCAGGACTAGAGTAAGTGCCCCATAACATAAGGCTCTGGTTCCAACAGCATGCACAGGGATGTGGTGTGAAATTCTGATCTCCATGTGCCTCTTAAGGATGGCACTCTGGCCCCCTGCTTCCTCTCCTGGCCATTGTCTTTGCTTGCCCTCTGAACCAAAGCAATGATCAAAGGCCTCTGACGATATTCCACCAAAGGAGGCGACAATTTTACTTTCTTACCTCTTTTTAAAGACACAAGTAAATGGCTGTGTGAAGTAATTATTTTGAAACACAGTTTTAAAATGGCATTTAAATAAATGTGTGAATCAGTGCAGCTGAAGAATGCTGCTTTGCAGCACAACTCAGCAAGCAGAACTTGTTTTGTCAGTATCAGCTGCTCTGAAAGTTCAAAGGTCTAGCTGTACACCACCATCTACTGAAGCACTTATGACAAGGTTAACGGGTACAAATTCATTTGAATACCATTTTTTTAATCTCTAAAGCAGGCCATACTTACATTGTAAGCTGTACTTAATTTGTATTTCTCTGGCGCAAGTTTTTATCTTTGTGATTGTTGGTAGAGTTGGTTTTCCTTTGGAGGAAAAATTGTATTACGTGAGTTAAACTAGTTAGAAGGTTTGAAAGTAACACATGGAAATACAGGAGCTCTTTCACTTATTGCCATCCCTGGGGTAGGGAGCACTTGTACTGCACAACACTAGTACCTGACAGCACTCTCAGTGCATAGCTCCCATCCATACCTTTTCCCCTAGAGAGCCTTTGACTCCCAAGGCAGACAGTGCAGAGGTGACTTGCAACTCATTTTGCAGCTGTATTCAATTGCTATAAAGGCGAGAACTGAACACTATTACTTCTCAAACAGAAGACAGTCATCAGCTGGCTGTGCTGTGCCCTCTGGCCCTTCACTAACGTGGACAATGCCTGCCTTGTGCGCTTTTTCCCCAGCTCTAGGAGGCTGCCACTGTTCGATCCCACACTTGTGGCTCTGTCTCAGGACACCAGCAGATATGAGGCTGGATAGTTTATCCATGTTACAGTCCAATTTGAAATGAGCTTGACCTAAATGTGGCATCATTAATACAGTGGTCACTTCCCCAACACCATCAATTTAAGCATGCAGAGTACACAAAAAGTCGAACCATTTCTGCACCTATACAGTAAAACAGGAGTGCAGCCTGCCTTGGAAATCAAATGGCCTTGAGTTAGGACGGTCCAAAGACTGGCCACTGCGCACTGCTGCTGTGCGCTATCTTCTTCTAGGGTCTTAGCCACGCCATTTAACTACAAATACAACATAATTCAAAGTCCACTAAAATACTTACATTGGCCCAGCTGGTTCATCATCTGTGTGGGTGGTCAGTTTTTAATAAGCCATGAGCGATAAGAAAAGAAAGGAGAAAACAGTTAAGACTCTGCATAAGGATTAGCAGGACAACAGAGTACAAGTGGCAAACATGGCTATTCATAGCGTTTAAAGGCCATTCCATCTGGAGGTGCAAAACACTCATGGAGTTATTTCTAGTTCAAGTTTAATGGCAGGTATGTTGTTTCAATGGTTTTAGTTAACACTTTGAATGCTTGTCATGAAAAACTGCAACTGTAGTGGACAGATAGGCTGCAATATCATCATACTCATCTTGTCCCCAAGTTCCAGTGGTTCACTCTTAGATGAGAAGACAAACCAACATTTCAGTTGTAAAATCCTGCTGTTTGTTTTCTTGTGGTGAACACATGCAGTTTTGACGCCATCCTACACTGGACATGGATGTGTGCATTCTGTCCTTTTAGCCACACATCTGCACTTCCCCAAAAAGCACCCTGCTTTTCTTGGTGTTTTGTGATCTTTAAGAGTCTTAGTGTGGAGAATAAGGCTGAAAACGAGGACGCCATAATAGTTTAACCAACTACAGGGTGAGCCACGCCAGCACAAGCACACGTGTACCAGAGAGTGTTCTGCGCCACACCGAGGAGAGCTCAACAGTGACAGCCCTCTAGAAAATACTTCAGATAGCAAAGGTGGGCTTGTTCTTATGCAAAGGCCAAAACCAGAACAGCCATGAGATTTTTTTTTTTTTTTAATAAAAAAGCTTATCTGAACTTAGAGGCCTTCTTAAATTGGTATTTATGATTCTGATTTATAAGGTTTTCCTGTTTCAACTAAGGGCAACTTGGTCCCTTTTCCGCAGAGATAAAGGGTAGGAGACAAGTAAATGCTCTTAGTTTGCTTTTACTATGTAAAGTATGGTGGAGGAAAGGATTCTAAGATTGGCACGCAAGGTGTCTAGAAAACCTCCCAGCAGGATTCCACAAGGGCTTGGTGCACATGAAGCAGTTATGAGGTTACAGTCTCAGTGGAGGCGTCTGCAGGAGCACACGTCGGGAGTAATGTCTGTCACAGGAGACATTGCTCCACCTGTTCCTTCCAGGCAACGGAGAGGCAAAGCCACCGCCAGCACACACAGTGACTGGAGCAAAAGAGGATTTCAAAACAAAGGAAAAAAAGAAAAAGAAAAAAAAAAAAAAAAGAACCACAAACTGACAACTCATCACCCAAAATAATAGGCTAGTGATACACCTGGGGCCACAGGAGCCCATTACTAACAACAGCACACTACCAAACAGGTACAAAGAACGAACTAAGACTTGAGGACACCCAGGACGTGTGTGTTGTGTGCGCAGTGAAGAGCTACAAAGACACCAAGTATTGAGACACACAAGCCCAGCCTAAACCCTCCCCACAGCGGCCCGGCCAAGCCAGCTCTGCTAACATGCTAGGAGCTAAGCACCTTGGTGAGCTAAAGGAGAAGACACAGGAGCAAACTTAAAAGAGTATTTCTAGTGCTCTGGCTGTGCACCCAAAAATACAAAATTCTAATGCAAGACAGAGGAATCCAGGGTATCACCAATCTACTCCCAAAAGTGGGAAGGGAGAATCACGATAACAGGCTAATCTCCAAGCAGGACCGTGTCGGCACCGATCCAAGCCCTTCAGACCTTTTGCAGAGCAGTTCTTCTCTGGTGGCTGCTTAGAAATGTCACTCTCCAACCTGACAAGCTGCTAACATGCAAGGGCTGCATGTCAAATTGGAGCCCTAGTGCCTGTGGCATAGCTGCCGTGCCTGCATGTGGGAGCAGCTGTGCTTCAGCTGTAGCCTGAATCCCAAGAGCCCCTCTCCCCAAAGCCACTTTCACACTGAGGAGAAGAAAAGAGCCTCAACTTGCTCCACTGCTGCACTGAGTCACTACCTGCAGCACCACTCTCCTTACAGGTCAGACAAGAAAACGGAAAACAAAAAGGTGACTTGACCCCTAACAGGGAAGTCAGGAGAGAGGGAAAGAACAGAACTACAAAAAAAGGTAGAAAAATCAAAATAAATGAAGATTAAACAGCAAACTGAAACCCAAATTAGTTGTGAAAGTGAATGGGTAAACTTGAAAGAAAGTGTTAACATCATGAACTGTGCACTGTATAGACTGAAGCGGAGATTAAACAAACTCCAAAAGCATGCATATCGCTCACTTACCACCATGTTTTAAGGGTTTGATGCAATTGAGGGGGAAAAAAAAGAAGTCATAGTAACCGATAAATATCAACATACCCCAAACCCTCAGGCCAAACACAAGCACCTTAAACAATGACAGGTTCTGGGGACAACGCAGAGCCATAGCTAGAAAGGACAAGGGCGGGGAGAATGGAGACAGATGTATCTGCAGTTGTCTGTCCAAAGTAGAGTTCCTGGTGGAGCTGATACATGCGCTCTCTGTGGTTCCCTCTTCTTGCCCCACCCCTGGAACCCTCCCTGCAGCCTAGAAGGTCTCTGCAATGCCTAGTAAAAAGCACTGCCTGACAATATCTCCTCCAAAAAGACAGCTTAGCATCAACACAACTTAGAGCTGACTCTGGTCAAAGGTCCTCTGTCACTTCCAAGAGGGTGGGGTTTCATGGTCATCAAGCCACTTCAATTTTGCCTGAGCTCTGTAGCAGTAAACGCAAAGGAGATGGTTCTATTCAGTCTCCTCTCATTGGGTCCTGCTGCACTTTCTCTGCAGGGTAACCTGTTTCTGACCCAGATGGCCCATGGTGAAGAGATGAACGTGTCCTGGACATCGTTTTAGTCATAGCCCTTGCCTGCTGTAAAGCTTCACGTGTTGACACACACTTTGGACCACTAACAGATTTTGAACATTGAATTGGTCACATCTAAAATGTCCAAAGAAGTTTGATATATCAGACTCATCATAAATACCCCAAAATCCCAGACCTTGAAGTATCTTCTCCACCAGTAACTTAAAGATCCCTGTGACTTGTTAATGAGACTCAAACCAGTATGAAAAACAGGAAAGTCTGATGCCAGCACATTTTCTTAAATCAGTTCCTCCCGCTGCTGTCTGTGAGGTCACTAAAATGTCCAGCACAATTGAAAACCCCAGTAGCCGGGCAGTGTCCCATGTCCCAGGGGGTGGAGAGGGAGGTCTCAACACACATACAGAGCTGCTTTGCACATTCAGCCAGCTCAGAGCGGGTGTGCTCCCAGCAGGTGTCTGGCTATAATGTGGATGGGAGGCTAAATGGGTTCAGGGAATAGAGTCAGTGAAAAGCTAAAGCTCTTATCTGGCTCCATGATTCACTATGCCTAAAATCTCTGAGCTAAAAGTGATTATGCGGAGACTCCCCCAGAGACACATTACCAAGCACGGACTGCAGACTGTGGCAGATGCCTAAGAGGCAACTGTGAGACTGCCCTTCTGATTTCAGTGTAGATGGCCGCCCTAAGCAGCTGACCCCTCTATCAAAGATTTTCTAATGAGACCCATTTAAACTTTGTCTAAATGTGTGTATTTTTATACTTTTGTACTAGCCACTTACTAGACAAGCAAGGTGGCGAGTTACCAAGAACTCAGACTGCTGCAAATGTGAATATTATGAATCCATTCAAGAAGGCTTGGCAAGTCTTAAATGAGGAATAGGTACTCACAATAAAGCACCTATATAATAGTGAAAAAGCACATCCCATTTCCAGAGTGGCATAAATAAGCCAGCACTTTACCTCTTCTAACTCCCCCAAGTTTGTATCAAAGTGCATCTCTTCACTCATTCCACAGGAGTGTAAGTATATAGATCTACATGCAACTTTGGGGGTAACAAATGGGAAGAATATAGTCACTGAGTCTGTTTCTATGAATTTCATCAGAGCTGAGGGGAAACTGGTTCAAGAGGGAAAAAACACAGCATAAGCAAAGTTCACTGAAGTACAAACTTAAAAAAAATTAATCCCCAGAAGGGGTGGGGAGGAGGGAAGTGGGAGCAGGAAGGAGTTGAAGAGGAGATGCAGAAACTATGGGATGGAAATGCTGGGGCAAGAGCAGGGCTGTGGAGATGGAGGCAGAGCCTGGACCACCATGACTAGCAGGAAGGGAAAAGAGAAGGCAGAAATTATGGTGGTTCCACCATCACCAAATCTGCCCCAGTCCAACCACAGTAAGTAAATGCTCTTTGTTTTAAAGTATCCTCCCAAGAGACGAGCAAGGAGCTTTCACCCAGCACTTACCCTGCAGTCATATGGAGGTCAATAGCTGTCTATACTAATTTAGCTTAAGAGCTTATTTTCCCTCCAGGAAGTGGTTCAGAAGACTGGCTGGCCACAGATGTCCCCTATAACAAACTGGTAGCCCCTTTGAATTTAATAACCAATGAACTCTTTAAAAAATCAGCTGCATCCTTGGGCAGACGTGCCTGCACTTGTCAGAGCTGATCCAAACCACTTCTCAAGTCTCACCTGAATATATGCCACATCTGCTGGGACAGCATCTGTATCAGCAAAGTGGCTGCAGAAAAAAACTGATACCACTGAGGGGGACACGCTAATAAGCCAATGTGTCACTCTTGTGACAACAGCAACCAGCCTGGTCTTGAAACTTTAAAAACTAGGTTCTGAAACCCACTTTTGTCATTTCTCATCTAACCCTTGCAAAGGGTAGGGTGAGGAAGGCAGAACTGGCAAAGCTGAAGCGTTCTGAGGGGTGGAGGCCCTTTTCAAGCAAGCATGAACTGCTCCTGAAGAGCAGCTGCGAATGTGTAAGAGACAGCAGGCCACTCCCACCCCCTTTACTCTCAGGTTAAATATAGGTGTGCTTTGTTCTGGGAGTCCTAACAGGTAGCAGAAAAGGAAAAAAAACTGGAGAAAAAGAATTTGGGATACATGAAAATCCCAAGAACGCAGCTTCACATCTTAGAACAGGAAGTAAAACTTCTGGGGACAGCCTTATTGCAGAGAACTAGATCATGTCCAAGGCCATGATCTAGTTCTTACTTTACTTTCAGCTGACAACCCAACCTCCATCCAGCTCACTGCCTGAGTACATCAGGAGGGTGCCCCCCAGGCCTTCCTCAGGCATCCTGAGTGTCAACAAATACCTCTTTCCAACTTCAACACTGACTCAGTACAGGAGGGAATTTGGCTGCTGAGAAGACAAGACAGTGGTTGCTGCTCTTCAGTGTGTCCTTCCAGAGTCTAGCGGCGGTGGCATGCCTCTGAGGCAAGCTCTTTTCCAGAGAGAAGCCCTCACTACTCTCCACTGCTATACGTGGGGCTGGGTTGGCTCAGCACAGAGTGAACTCCAGGGCAGAACACAGTACCACAAGTGCACTAGCATAAACTCCAGGACAGCCAGACCATAGCTGGTAACACTATCAGCCCACTGGCGGGCACTGAGCACAGGGACAGATGCTACCAAGGCAGTCCGCACATACTTCTGAACCGCTGCTGTTAAGAGGAAGGGAAGGTGGGGATGAGGAACTAGTCAGGAATCAGAAGCATAACTGGTAAGCTCCATAAGGAACTCCCCAAATTGCAGTCACAGGGTCAGAGATGAATATCTATGACCAACAAATACAAATCCTTAAGGCTTCACAGATTCTAAGCATGTCTAACAAACGTAAAGCATTGTTTGCTCTAATGCTTAATACTCTGCCACTATCTACTGCCTTCCATGATGCTGGGCTAGCGGGGGCCTACACTAGTCACGGGCTCCCAGCAGGAGCACTTAGCAACCGCTAACTTAGCTCGGGAAGGTGGACTTATCTGACATTTTCCACCATGCTTGTCTGAAAGACAGAAAAACCAGGTGGTAGAGAGCCTTGGGCACCTAGCAAAGGGACGAAGAGGCCAAGGCTGGCTTGTCCCAGTGGGTTTTCTCAGATGGCCTGACTAAACTGGGACAGTGATCTGGGGCAGCTACCAACAGGCAATGATGTGACACCCAGTTCGATCCTGGGGTGGCTTCTAGGCTTGGTTTAGATTCTCCTCAAGCTCAATCTGCCAGATGAGCTACACTAAAAGAGGAGACAGAGTTGAACCAAACCACAGCTACCCAATTCCCACATGGCCTTAAGGGCTAGGTCTGGGCTTTAGGAAGAACAATTATGTAAGAAAGGAGTGAATTATAGCTCTTGGTGGCAAATACAAATACCTCAGGGGTAGAAGGTTAGAAACTTGTATGTATAATTTTCCTTCTTCCTTTGGGAGTTCTTTAGTCTTCAGGTACTTGAAAATCACCCCAGGTAACCAACCCCAGCGTTACTGCTTTGGAGGCATTTTCTTACCGTCAGGAACTTCATCTGGCCTCTTCCTCTTCTCATACACAACAATGATCACCACAAGGATGATGATTTCAGCCAAAATTCCCAAGAAAGGCCAGAGCGGGGCCAGGTGGCTCCGTACCCTGAGGACTGTGACAACGGAGGCCGTGCCAATAGGGTTCGTCGCATTACAGTCATACTCGCCGGGGTCCTCTGTGATCTGGAGATTTGTAATACTCAGCTCAGTGTAGTTCTCCTTGTTGATAATGAAGAAGCGGCCAGAGGAATTGACAATGTCCTGCAGAAGTGGGAATACACAAAGGTCAAGGTGAACCACCATCTGGAGGAGGGAGGTGTCATCCTCTACTATTTCTAAGACACTGGTTGCAATAAAACAGCAGTATCTGGGCCCCGTCTTTGTTCACAGCATTTTGAACACTTTATCGATGACTGCCTTTCAATATCAGTTTCCAAAACAATCAACAAACTTCGAAGAGAAACAGGACACACACCTCTTCCCCTCCTTCATCACCACAGGTCTCTCTGGAACTCATCTGCCTATAAGTTAATCCCGAAAAGAGCAACAATCTAATGAACCCAAATTCCAAAAACCAGGTGACAAAGAAAAGTGGTAAGGTTATAGAGAAGCAGGGCAGGACCCCTCCCCCACCACACATTCTGAAGACCTCAGGTCTGATGATGTCAGTTTTGGCACATTTACTTCATGCCTGGTAAATGTAAACTGTTTTGACAAATAATGCTAAGACTTCCTCTTACAGTGGGGAAAGTTCCTAACTGCTCTTTCCTCTCAGACCTACAGCACTAATGAAGGGAAAGGTTATTTAAGTCGAGTGTGGTAACATACTCCTGTAATCCCAGCACTTTAGGCTGAGGCAGGAGGATTGTTGCGAGTTCAAGACCAGCCTGGGTAACAAAGTAAGTTTAAGGCCAGCCTGAACTACACAGCGCAACCCTGTCTCAAAAAGACTGCCACCCCAAAAAGGTTAATCAACAAATACCTCCCAGTATACACTATGTATTTCACATCCTACTGAAAGGAAGGTGAGATGAACTGGGGAGACACAATACAAAGGGTCTTGGCCTCAAGGGGAAAGAAGTCCAGAAGGTTCGTATAGGGTACTGCGGGGGCAGAGTTAGCAGCCACTGTAGGAAGTCAGAGAAGGACTGCTACCTGCACTACAGCACACAGGAGAGCCCACAGACCAGGACTGGAGCGCCTCCCAAGTGAAGACTGTGTGTGCAAGGAGGGGTCACGGTGCAACACCAGTCTCATGACTCACTAGCAGGTGAACACAGGCCTGTGTGTTTCCACCCTGCAACAACTAAGACAGAAATAGCGGAGAGTTCAAAGGAAAATGTTAACCCCCAAATCACTCTAGTAGTCCTCTCCATATCTGGGTGTGGGTAAGGCTGAAATGCAGAAATCATAGCCTTCAAAAGATAAGCTAAAGTGAAGTTTTAAATTCCACCCTTCGGAAGATGAAAATACTGAATCAGTTCAACCTGTTTTGGGAAAAGCTGGTACCTACCTTCCCAGAGCCCAGCATAGAGATGGGCCTTTCCTGGCTAGCACCTCAGAAAACCCAATCTTTTAAGGGCCTGCCTTGAAAAGACTCAACTCACATCTTCACTTCCCCACTCTGTCCTCATTTCCTTTCCAGAAAGGATCTGAAAACCAGCCATCACTGCTTATGTACAATTGCTGTTAACACTTCACGAGGTCATGGGATGGGAATAATAGGACTTGAAATTAAAAAAACAAACAAACAAAACCCTCAATAGGATGTCTACATAACCTTCCCAAAGGGGCTGGACTTTAAATGATCTTACTGACTTTGAAGGCTGACAATCAAAATAGGATACACGAACACGACGAAGTTGAGCACACAGGCTTGTGGCATAGGAGGAATATACGACATCCTCCTGACAAGGAAACTGGTCAGAAATCACAGAACCAGAGAGAAAGGAGGAGAATCTAAGGCACTGAGTATCTAAACATTGTCAGTGTTTGGAATCATCCCACAGATTAGAAAAGAGGTTCTCCTTACCTTTTCTGGGGCAAATATTATCAAATTACTAGGGCCTTTGGGTAATTATCACATTACCAGTGCCAATTAAAACTGCCTTCAGGTATCCTTGGGTTGCCCCAATTTCTTTTTTTTTCAAGAATTTATTTATTTTTAAAATTGTATTTATTTATTTATGTGTGTGTGTGTGTGTGTGTCCAGCTCAGCCCACCAGGGGGCGGGGCTGGCTGGCATGTGGTGCTGGGAGACTGAACCGCAGTCCCTATGCTTTGATAAGCTTGTTCTAAGTAGGTGCTTCAGACCACTGAGCCATCTCACCAGCCCATGCCCCAATTTCTTACAGGTATTTTTTTTAGTTCTTTGAATATATGCACAATTGTTCTTGGTCCCTTGTTTCCCCCCAAAATTAGACAGATACTCTAGTGGATTTCCCATCAGCTTGAACTACCAGTGGTACCTGGGCAGCTGTCCCAATTGGGTAGCCTGTGCCACTGGTGATATAAACGATCTAATCACTTCTATCAGTCTTTTTATTAATAAAATTAATTAAAAGCCGCCTGATGGGACAGTCACCCATATACCACTGGTGGCTGAAGCTGCCTAACAATGAGACATATGAATTGCAGCCCCTCTGTGAAGGTGTGAAAGGTTAGGCTCATCTCTTTCTGCATTGTATCCTGAAGGCAAGCAGTCTAGTCTCTTTCCAGGCAGACAGCTTTGACAAACCATGTATAGACAGTCCCTGCTGGACACATACTATCCCTCCAGAAGCATGGTGTAATTCCTTCCCCACTCTAGAAAGACCAGCCCAGGCTATGTACACATCCAAGTCAGCTGTTCCAGCAACTGGTCCAGATATGTGGACCCCTCTAGGTGAAACTCCAGCAACCAGAGAGACCTAGGCATAGAGCCCCAGGGCTCCTCCTACTCACCACGAGCATACCATTCTCCTTCTTGCGCCATATCCATTCTGGGTGAGGGTAGCCCACTGACTTGCAGTACATCATCGCATCCTGCCCTTCATTCTTGTTCTCACTCCGTTTATGGCCAGTGATATCAGGAGCAGCTGTGAAAGAGTTGAACAGTTACCATAGTAACATACTTTGAACAAGATACAAAGGTCCTACCTACTGGCCTTCAGCATACTCTCATAGTCAGCTCTGACAAAGAGCACTGAAGGTCAGAATATGGTAATAAGGCCAACCCCATTCCATATGTCCACCCCTCAAGGCAGTGAAGCAGATACCAGGATTATTCGTGTATTAGATCCTATTAACGGATGTGGTTCTTCCACCTCCTGGAAAAGCCACAGCTCAACTCTCTTAAATTATATTCTAACTACTTAACAGTTTATGTACTATCTTAAGTACTGCTCGGGAGGCATCAATTCTTGTATTGAATAAATTTGATAAAATTATTTGATTATAAAAAATAACAAAAAATGTAGAATTTTTGGTCATCCTATATTTAACTGTATTGGTAAGTGGTTAAAGATAAAAATCATTATCACCTCTTCTGCCCATCCAGTTTCTTTGTTTTTGGTTCAGGGTCTCACTTTGCAGTTTGGACTCTCTAGTAATCCTCCTGTCGCAGCCTCCCCAGTGCTGGGACTACAGGCATTTTGGCACTGGCATGGCATGTGATACAGGGGACTGAATTTGGGACCTTGTACTTGCCAGGCAGGCACTTACACCTGGAGCTATTTCCCCAGCTTATCTATCCAGTTTTTTCTTAAAACAATTATGGATGTCCTATGTCATATTCCCTTAAGGAAATGAGACCTTTGAGATAAAATATGTAAAACTAAGTGCTACTACAAGGCATGTAAAAATAATGAAGGCTTAGAAAAGCTACTTGATCATGGCTCTCCTGGGAAAGAGGGATCCAGCCCATTAGTTGGGCTTCATAAAAGGAAAGGAATGACCAGGAGATTCAAACAGTATCATAGAAGCTTTTGTTAGCAGGTTAAGAATGTCACTTAAATACCTGATTCACAACAATCTCAATCCAATTTGGGGAGTACCCACACATGCCAGCAGCTGCTGGGTATTCTCTACTTTTAGGTATCACTTACTGAGACGTAAATAGCCGCTACAATCTAAAACTTAGGTCTGTTTCAAAGATCCATGAAGCATGACATACGGCTAATTCTTTTGACTTTATCTTTTATTTTAACAGGGTTTTTAATTAGTGCTTGACTAGTTACCTGAACACAGTGAAACTCAAAGTAGGCCAGAAACCAACAGGCTTTGGTCCAATCAATGGAGATAATCATTGACCCTGGCTGTCTCCCAATGTTCTTAAAGATACGTAAGTTGTCAAAACATTTATTTTGAGACTACAAACTCACACAGAATTGTACTAAGTCATGGATAAGCCCATATACTACTTATGACTGACCTGACTTTAGAAACAATCCAAGTCCTATTTCTCACAGGCTATGCTACAGAGGCACAGCCTGGTCCTGTACTAAAATTCCAGAGGTACTTGGACAGGAATGGAGCAGCTGCCCATCTAACCAGGCACTGCCCAATAGGCCTGCTTAGCACCACTTTGTGCAATAGACCGGATGTCATAAAGAAATATCATTTTGTTTTTCTTCTCAAACTTCTTTACCACCAAAGTAGTTAGGCAGGCTCTATCTTTCCCAAGCCAAACTTCCCACAGCCCCTGTCACTTTCCAGGCCTACTGGTCACCTTCTTTAGAGCTTTCTATAGTCAAAACATATGGAGTAAGCTCCATAGCTATAACATAACCAAAACACCATCATGGTGTGGCCAGGAGATGTCAGAAGAGGAGGAAAGCTACACCACGCTGATCCATCTGCTGAGTACCACCTATGAGCCGGACACATCACAGAGGGGTCAGGAAAGGATCTTCTGATCAGATGTTTTAGCATAGTTGTAAAGAAAATAAGGCAGGAGGCCACATGTATGGAGGAAGAACACTCCAGAGAGAAAAGGAAAGGCCTCAAGGTACTTGTATGGTTGTTACACACAAGAAACAGCAAAGGCGAGTATGTTTGAAACACAGTAATCAAGAAGACAGGAGAAGAATTAAGAGAGACTGGGGAACTAGATCAGGCAAGACTTTGTAGGTCTCTGGAACAGCTCGGGCACTTATAAACTGAGTATGCCAGAGCCACTGGGGGTTACTGGAGCTGTGTTTTAAGTACTATGTGGACAACTGTACAGAGACAGCGAGCAGGTGTTGACTCACATAATCCAGACGAGAGGGGGTTTGCACAGGGAAAGCAGGAGTGAAAGCAGATAGACATTGAGCAGATTTTGTAGGCTGAGTTAATACAGCTGTTAATGAACTGGACATGGGGCATGAGAGAAAAAGGAGTCATGGATGGCTTCAAGGTGTTGGCCTGAGCAACTGCCAAGAACAGGCATGGCAGTGACTAAGATAAAGAAGGCTGCAGAAAACTCCAAGTAGTTTTTGTTTGCTTGCTGGCTGACTATGCTTGGGAGGAAACAGTAATGTCAAGACCAAGAGTTGCAGTTAGGATGCACAGCTGATGCCCAAGTGCAGCTAACGAGTAGGCAGCTGAGTACCAAGTGGGATGCTCAGAGATGCTGCCTTGGGTAGTGACAGAATTTTCAGAAATCAGCTTACATGTGGTGCATTTTCCCATTTTTATTTTGCTTTACCCCTGAGAGAACACCCACTGGGGGTCAGTTATTTGAGGAATGCCATAAAGCACTATGAATTCAGTACTATCAGCTTTAACTCCATCCTCAAAGCAGTCACTGAAAGTTTAGTTGGCATACACGGTTCCATGGCCTCTAAGGAGTCACTGTTCTGCAAGGCCCTGGACTGAAAAGCCCAGAAGCAGGGGAGGGGAGCCAGTCTTCACGCCCACCTCCGTGTTCATTAGAAGACCACCACTTACCCTTGAGCTCTCCAGCTGCAGTGTTCTGCAGACACTTGTGTTCCCATGTCTCCTGCCAACTTGAAGCACTGGTGGCACATGCATGACTGTCTCATCAGGCGGCTTGTATCACTGGTGGTACAAATGGATCTAATCACTTTTATCAGGCTTTTTTACTAACAAACTTAATAAAAAGCTGCCTAATAGGTCAGTCATGCATGTACGACCAGTGGTTCAAACTGTCTTGGCAGCAAGACATGAATTATAACTCAGAAATGTGAACCCTACTCAGAGCTCAGCTAAACCCAAGTTCTGAGCAAAGAAAGCTACAAGAGAGTCCCAAGAGTTAGATTGTTGCTTCTCTTACTGAACACTGCAAAAATCATGAGGGCCAGCCCCTTACTACTCAAGAACAAGGCCCACATATCCTTCAGATGAAGAAAGCACCACTAGGATTGAGTCAAAGTCACAGCACTCTTCCCTAAAGGGAGTGATTACAAAACTGCCACTTTAGTCTCTGCTTTATGGTAGCTGCTAAGTCAGAGTGCCTGTTCCTGCACCACCAGCTGGTGAGACAGCCCCCCAGGTAAGGAAGGAAGCAGATGCTCAGAGAGGACACATCGGGTAACAGGGGCCAGGAAGAGGCCTCTTGGTGCTCAGCCCCACAGGAATCTCCTCTTTGATATGTTATTCTTTAAGGTGCAAAACTTAATTGCCCTTCTCCTGAATATGGGCTGAACTTAGTGACTCCCTTCTAACGCACAAAATAAAGCAGGAATGAAGGCGTCCAATTCTGAAAATGAGTTCATAAAAGGCACTGTGACTTGTTCTTTGCTCTCGACCACATGCCCCACAGGAAGGTTAGATACCATGATGGAGGGACAGAGAGCTGCTGGAAGGCCCCTGGGGTGATACACTAAGGCCTCCACCTTGAGAGCAGGACCTGAAGCCCTGCTGAGCCTCTGGGGGAATACAGCCACAGCGATAGCACACGGAACTCTCAGGACAGCTACCACACTGCTCACTCAATTCTGAACCTGCACAAACTGATATGACAGGTATCTGTAGTCTTAGGCCACTAAGCTTTAGGGTAATTTATGATTCGTGAATAAATAAATATATCAACTGATGAAGCAGGTATTAGCCCAGTTTCACAAGTGGGAAAACTGAAATTTGGAAAAGTTATTTAATGTCTAAAATTATAGTTAGTAAATAAATGCTATCATCCAGTTCAAAGCTAATTCCAGAGATCATGCATTTGTACCTTTATAAGAATAAAAATCAAACAAGAACAAGGTCCACAAAAAATGCTGAGAATATACATTACTGTAAGTACACAGCAAACTGCCCACGTGATATCTTTACTTATTCATGTAGTAAGACTCCCTAGGCCTGAGGGACTAGTTAACCTGACAGAGCAGAAATCAAATAGAATAATGTAAAGAACACAACCTTGGACTTAGAGCCAGAGAAAGCTGGGCCATCTCAAGGCTCTACTCACTGGATACAGTAGGGCTAATCCTTAAAAATCCTTTAAGTGTCGGTATTCACTTTGGTAAAATGGGAATACAACCCACATACTTCCCAGCGGTCCTGTGAGGGTTAAATTACACTTTTGTAATGTTCTATACCAGGTTATAGATCAAGCTTAGAAATAAACACTTAGGGCTGGGGACAAAGCTCAGTAGAATAAGTGCTTGCCTGGCAAGTGCTGGGTCCTGAGTTCAATCCCCGGTACCACAAAAGGAAAAAAAAAAGAAAAAATAAACAAATAAACACTTAGATTGTGCAATCAGCCAAGGAAAAGAAAAGGCAAGTCTGAGGCTCGGGCAGTAAGTTTCTAGGAAATCAGAGAGATGGTGGTTACCATGTGCTTTCCCATTTGCAGACACTACTACTAACAGGGCTTTTTTTCCCCCTGTAATCAAGTTTTTACCAAGTCAGATACTGACAAATTATGTTGATCAACAGCTTGTATTAGTGCCTCACCATGTACAGGCTTGTCACTTAACAAGGGACTGCTTAACCAGGTTCTGTCTGGAAGCAATTCTGAGGAGTCTGACCAAGGCTTTATGCTGTGAAAGACACAGGGTACACCTTTTCCTTCTCCTCCCGGGGGGTGGGGTGGGGGTAGCAGTGACTGAGGGGCAAGAATAAGAAAGCAAAAAAGTCAGCTGAAAACAGACTC